CACACACACACACACACACTCACACACACACACACACACACACACACACACACACACACACACACACACGTGAGAGCAGACGTGAATTATATAATATAAACTATGAAAATAATAAAAATTACAATAGACAGACAGACAGACAGACAGACAGACAGACAGACACACACACACGACAACTAATGATGACATTTGTTTTATCTAGTCAGTCTCAGAATACTCTTTAAACACATATATCATATCAGTGTGTTTGTTCAGACTCTTGAATTATGGGACAGTTGGTATGTGTCCGTTAAATCATCTGTATTTATTTCAGAAACTCTGATGTGTTCCTGCTGCACACGTCACATGGATCTTCACCGCAATCAGACTAAAGTGGAGCGACTACACGATGACATTTGACTGAATGAAGAAGAAACAGTTTACGAGTCTGTAAGTGTTAAACGAGTCACAATTGAGCTTTCATTTCATTTTCCAAACAGAGGGACGACACAAAGTCATTTTCTGCGGCGTCTGACAGCATCCCACACACTCAAACAAGCATCTGCTCCCTGAGAAACACTTCCCATGATTCCACACGACTGCAGAGAGACAGAGACAGAGAGAGAACGCTGAATGTGTGCTAGAAACAGCAGCACTAAAATACAACACACAAAGCAAGCTGAAAACCTCAGGAAACCTGATCAGTGGCACTGCAGAACATCTGCACTTACACACATATTCACTATCACGCATAATGAAGCCTGACCCAGAGATCCTCACTGAACGCCATCAGACAGACGGCCAAAAGAGTCACATCAGCGGAGATTCTGCTCATTCACAGACAGAAACAGCTACCCTTCATTCAATGACAATCAGTGTTTGAGATGCTCCAGCGTCCAGCTCGCAGTGAACGTGAACACCCGCGAGTAAAACTAGACGATACACAGACTCATGAACTTATGTTCTGGCCGAATGACATCCTTCGAGTCTGTCAAAGTGTTTGTGTTTTCTCATGCATCCACATCACTAACATTCACCATTCATGCAAACACTCACGTTTAATATTTCAGTAACATTTATCTTAATTTATACATGTAACTGTATCATTTTCTGTGACATTATTCATTTAATCCAGCAGAACAAGTGCATCAGATTGGGCAGTCAAATGGATTTTCAATCAAATTTCCCCCAAAAATAAATAAATAAATTAAAATAAATAAACAAATCGCTCCAAACTCCTGCAGAACACACACATACATTATTAAAAGTCACTTATTTCCATTTACTGCATGATGATCACTGCTCGAGTTTAGCTGCTGTTTATTAAAAAAATTGCATATAATAAGACTGGGATATGAATCTGGATCAGTTTGCGCTAAATAAAAAGCACGTTCAGAAATAAAATGGGTTTCACGAGCATTTAAAGAAGGACGTGAGATATTAAGAGTGTGAGACGGTTTAAGCGCTGTGCTTTCTGACTGACTCTCTCTCCTGTGTTTGATCAGGTGCTTCGAGTGTCTCTCGCCCACAATCTGAGTCAGTGACTGAATCACTCATAATCCAATCCAATTCAAAACCATCAGAAACCTTCCACCGGACTCTGAGAGAATGAGAAATAAATGAGTCACGAACTGCAGAGTTTCTGATCTGAGCTTTATTCAGGAAAACACCGCAGCTCTGCTGATCAAACACTGATGTTGCAGCGGCGTCCTCCTTACAGGAGACTAAACGAGTTCATGAACCGTGACACGCGTGTGGGAGGAAGTGATGTCAGAAACCACTGCTGCGCTTCCTGAGCAGAGACCAATAATACTGAGAAACTCCATCATGATTCACTTCAGCGCACAGACATGAGCTAAACCTGGAAAACCAGTAGCTCCATTAACATCATGATCTGGGTCTCACTGATTCAAAATAAACACAAACGATCTAAGTATGCATGAATCTAAAGACTTTGACTGCAGCAGAAATGCAGCTATCATTATAATGAAATAATACATAAACAACAGCTCATCCGTCGTTAACCGATGTGATCATCTGTTCATCTGAACCTGTGAACATGTGAGGCCTGTGGAGTTTATTTCTGACGTGTTCTCGGTCTAGCATGATCAGGATTGAAGCGTGTAAACAGTGACTCACACACTCACACACACACTCACACACACACTCACACACTCACATACTCACTCACACACTCACAGACACTCACACACTCACACACTCACAGACACTCACAGACACTCACACACTCACACACTCACAGGGCTTCAAATCAATATTACTCAGAGAGTCTAATCACAGACAGCAGCTCAACAGCCGCTGCAGGCGACACACGCCTCAAACGCTCTTCATGCCTCCAGATCTTTCTTCTGTAGCGACACACGCGGGAACCTTCAGAGCCGAAGCTAACGCCGTCATCTTCACCGATGCGTCTCTCATGTGTATATTAATCCTGTGAAGAAAACACGGTTATTCACCATGTCATCGACGAGAGCAACAACACACCTGAATGACAGAAACGATGATTCAAGATCAAAAACCAACGCGTCTGGACGCACCGCTTGCTCCACTGGACTATAAAACATATGCTGACTTTCAGAAATCAAAACGTCCTTCCCAGTCCAAAAGGAGAAATCCCTCCTGCGTTTAGTGCCATGTGTCTGGAATATAAACGTGTGTTATAGATGATCTTAATGAACTTACTAGCCTTCAGACTGGAGCTGTAATGATCTCATTTGTTCCTGCAGAACACTACACTTCCCATCATGCACCTCTCTGCTCCTGCAGGACCTACAAACAACACCACAGAGACAGATAGCTCTCTCTCTCTCTGTGAGTGTGTGTGTGTGTGTGTGTGTGTGTGTGTGTGTGTGTGTGTGTGTGTGTGTGTGTGTGTGTTTCAATGTTGATTCCATTAAACTGAATGTTGGGTAGAAAACCATTTAAGTGTGTGAGTGTGTGTGAGTGAGTGTGTGTGTGTGTGAGAGTGCGTGTGTGAGAGTGTGTGTATGTGAGAGTGTGTGTGTGAGGATGTGTGTGTGAGGGTGCGTGTGTGAGAGTGTGTGTATGTGAGAGTGTGTGTGTGTGTGTGCGCGCCTTTTTGTGACAAATGAGGACATAAATTTGTATAATGACAAAGGTATGACATAGGTATTACAAGGAGAAGATGACTTTTCAGGACATTACCCCATGTCCCCACTTTTCAAAACGCTTATAAATCACCTGTGTGTGTGTGTGTGTGTGCGTGTGTTTGTGTGTGTGTTTGTGTGTGTATGTGTCACTCATCAGACGTCACTGAAATCACAGCAGCTCCAGTGCTTTAGTAAGGAATATCAGCTGTGTTTGCTGGTTAGAAGACACTCTCAGAGTTATTCCCAAATATCTGTCAGTTCAGGGCAGCTCATTAATATGCAGAAAATCCAGAGACAGAAGGATGCGTTTATAAAAGAGTTTATCACAGGACACGCAGGTCAGCAGCCACAGCGTTACCATGGAAACCACTGCCTGACGACTCGGCACAGATCGGGAAACACAACACTAAACACACACACTTACATGCACTGACTCATACACACTCATTCACTCACTCACACACACACTTACATGCACTCATACACACTCATTCACTCACACTAGGGTTGGGTATCGTTTGGGTTTTTTTCGATACCGGTGCCAAATCGATACTTTTAAAACGGTT